GTTTGTGTCTTAAAGAGTTGCTTATTCAGGTCTGTCTTTCCCTGGAATCCTCCCTGATCCTTCACTACAAAAAACAACTGACATAAAAATGAGTCCAGGTTCCAGCCAGGCAGTTTCTATGATAAATTCTCGATCTGATCTGTTGATGTTTTGCAGTTATGCAAGCTTTGGAAGAATTTAGCCTTCCCAGTTACGTACCTGAACCTCTTATTCATATTTTACAATACAGACAGAGGGAAATGAAGACTTTTTAAAAAGATTGGCAGAATATCACACCCATCAATCCAAGCTGGACTACAGTGCAGCATTTTTTTCTTTCATGTCTCAGCTCGGGGAAGAATTAGTCATCTAACAGGCTGAAGTTCTCATTTTGGTTTCAGACTCTTTAGATGATGCTCATGTCTCATTTCTCTCTTAAAGACCTTTGAAGCCAACACCCAATCTCAACTGAACCTTGGAGGTGTAATGATCCCACAGATGCTCTACTTTTATGAAATTACTGGAAAACAAGCAGCCAAGCAGCAAGGATTACCAGTTCCTCTGCAGAGAGAACGGCTGCAGCAGGAATTCTCCTCTTATCGGCTGTCAGCATGCTCAGGCAGGAAACCATCTGGGAGCCTCCATGGCAGAAGCGAGGAAACCAGGCTCTGCTACTTCTGCTGCTTGTAAAGTTGCATTTCCTTCCCTTGTGGGCAGGAGTGGAAGCAAGGCGTATTTCAGACACATCAGTGTCCGAATCTCTGTGAGAAGCAACTCCACTTGCAGCTTATGTGTCTGTGGGAGTGCTTTGCTGTCCTTCAGGAAAGAAGCTAACTGCAGCTGTTCATTTGATTCTGTCAGACTCAAATTGAGATTGAACAAGTCCCATTACACTTAGTGTCATATTTTTGAGATCAGAATCACACTATTTACAAAAAAAGTATTTTGTTGACATTTTTGTCTCATCTACATCTAGCAAAACAGCAGCCACCATTAAGGTGCATTCTGCAATAGTTTGGATTCCATGCTGCTAAGCAGATGGTATTTATTGACAAACCTACCTCTAGACTGCTTATTCTTGGGGCTGTAGGTGCAGCCAGACTGAAGCATATTCACTGCTCATTATGAAAATGTTCTTTATACCAGAAAACAACCTGTGTCATATGGTTACAGCAGACGTCCAGAAACATCCCATCTCTCTGACACCACCACCTCCCCAAAACTGCTTATTTGTTGCCACATGTAGACTGTGTTTCCTGGCTCCTTTCTTCAGAAGCCCTCCTTGTGCACCTTGCAGTAAACAACAGCAAAATTCATCAATCAAGATGGAAAACAGACATATTTCCAGTTTTAAATCTTCACAAATGTGAACTTAAGTCCACAGGCACAGGAAGAGTGTCTAGGACAGGACATTTGCTAATGAGCAAAATTGTATCATGTACAGCTTTCACATTAATGAGACTGAGGCAAGAAGCATTATAAAGAAGTACGGATTTGGTGCAAACTCAGGAGCTGCCAGCTACTTCATGTAAAGTAAAGTGTGTTGTCCTCCTGGTTGCAGTCTGCCACAAGCACAGGTGCAGAGACAAGCAGACCAGTCTGAATGGTTTCTGCAGAAACACACTGCAGAGCCAGTAGGTGAGGTGAGAGGGAAACATCAGTGCTAAAATCATTCACGTTTTCCTGTCTCCTCAGGACTGATGATGCACTCAGCACTGGCAAACCAAGGAGAGGTGGGTACGGCCCCACTCCATCACTCCTTATTTGCATACCTCCCAATTAGATTTCTATTCAGTGATTTAAGCATCTTTCATGGTGTCATGGCACAACCCTCTGTAAATATGTCTGTAATTGAGGGTGATGAATGCACCTTGTCACTCCACCCTAGGAGGTGGTGGCTGAGACTTCTTCATTCTTGTCTCTTTCAAAGGGTACAGAATTTCACCCAGATGCACCTGTTATAAAGTTCTGCATTTCATCAAAAATGTAGATGTGTATCTCAAGATTGCTGACATCCTATTGATTGGCTTGTCACTGATTTCTTCACCTTCACACCAACATGAATCCCTTTTTGCCTAGAGACAGTGGGAACTGCAGGATGTAAGAGGTGGCAGAGTGCAACATCTCAGAAGTGCAAATACCAAATTCCTCCAAATTATTTTTATTATTTATCAAGCACTTTTGTATTATTGTAAGTATTTTCTCGCATATCTAAAAACATACGTACCTGGAAAACAGGTGGTTCTACAAGTACCTGCTTTCCTTATGTATATAAATTACCTTGCATAGCAGAATAACTTCAGTGTCACAAAGAAAGCAGCTTCTGATAGATGTTTTAGCCAATGTAGATACTTACAAAAATTCTTTCCCAAGTGAGTACTCTGACATTATATACAATGTGTACTAATACCTCTGAGTTTCCTTCTGTCAGGCTAGCTTGGTCTTCTTGACCACAGCATTTCCATGAAACTTGCAAGAATAACAATACGTGTGATTTTTGCCCTTCTGTTAAACATTGCCAAAATTCACTAACATATCAGTTGTCTCAAAAGATACCTTACCTGCACAAATTTTGCTCTTTCTGGAAAATGTGAATAACCCTGTATTGACAGTGGATACGAATAACACAGATTGCCTAATAAACCAGGAAAAAACTGACTAGTATTTCCTATCTGCTGCTATTCCTATCTGATGTTCTATGAGTAGGTCATGGGCAGAAGTTCACACTGAAGGTCGGGATCTTCAGTGACCCACACTGAGTGCAGAATGGGCCATATTTGGAGTAAGCTAGTGAGTTCAGGATAAAATTTGAGCTCCATAGAATCCATAGAATCATAGAATAATTGAGGCAGGAAAAGACTTCCGAGATCATCTAGTCCAACCATCCACCTACCACCAATATTTCCCCACTAAACGACATCCCTTATTGCCAGATCTAAATGTTATTTACTAGACATAGTTGGGCCTGGCTAGTAAACTGAGTACAGACAGAAATACAGCTGTGTAGCCAATGGGACTCACTGGACTCCAGTACTTACTAGAAATTCAGGCTTACTGAAACAGAACAATACAGGAAATTGCCTGTTGGGGGTGGAGGTAGCACAGAATAGCTGCTGTGCTTCAGCTCACACCCTCACTTATTTCGAAACAACTTCCCTGTTTAGACAAGCCCTAAGAGATTGAGACATTTATAATGAGTATTTAATCTTTCCATCTCTTATTTTCTTACTGTTTTGATGTTTTCTTAGACTTTGAAAAGTCAAAATGATTTTTTCCAGAAACTATAAGCCTCAAGGCAAAAATAAGGCAGCTATAAATCGACCGTTGCCAGTGGGAATAAAACGTTTATAACTTTTTCCAGCACAGGAAATGTTCAATGTCTTTACAGCAGTGACCATGTTTTAATGCATTTATGCCCTTAGGGTTATAGAAATCCTCCATTCACAAATTTATCCACTGCAGATCCTAAGGCTGTTAATATTTCTACCATGCCATAATGCTTTTCGGTAGTATCATCATCATGTGCATGTTGTGAAGGACAAATGGCTGCTTGTTTTTTAGATGAAATCAAATCCAAAGACACTGACTGAGAATGCAGCACCTGAAGCAGCAGGAATGCCTCTTCCAAATTCTCCTTAGGAGCGGAGTGCAATGCAAGGGGTCCTCGCCAAGTGCTCGAGGCATGACAGAAAAACATTTAATGATTTGTACAGCAGCAGCGAAACTTCCTCATTGTCCCTCAGGGAAATACTGTCTTTGGAAACCATAACGCTAGGAGAGTAATGATAATATCACAACAGTGATTTAGAGGGACATGAGGAGCAGCTCAGAATACTGGAATTGAGCATTTGCTTTCTGTGCTGGGTGCCTTTTTCATCATAAATTGACTTTTTCTTTTTTCCTCAAGCAGTACCTCAGTGATGTTCAGTTTGGAGTAACGTGCCCTCGTGTTATTGATACAATTGGACTCTGGTGTGAAAGAGAAATTCCTCATTTTGGACTGAAGCCCCACACTCATTCACAAAGTGTGCGCACAGACAAAGGAGCAAGTCCTATCAGAGTTACTGCAGAAGTCCTTTTCTCTCACTCCTCTTACTTCAGGGACTGCCGTCATTTCTGAGGGCAAGGAGACAAGACAGCTTCTTGAGGAATGTTTCGAAAATGAAGCCGGGATGCCTCGTGTGAGCGAGCCCAGTCCCAGCAGCAGGACGGCCGAGCCCCAGGCACGGGGCAGCTCTGCTCGGCTGTGACGCTGCTCAAACTGCCGTCCTATTGCAGCCCACCGACAAGGTGGTTAGCTGGAAGGTAACGAGGAGGTGGGAGGGCAGCAAGGACAGCAGCACGGACGGAGCTGCTGCTGAGGGACAGAGCCTGAGGAGCAGGCCCGGCGTCCCAGCCCGCCGGCAAGGTGCGGCCACCGGAGGATGCGTGGTCGGAGCCCTGGTCCAGCTGACACGGCGGCCCTGTGGCGGAAACCGCTGCCACGCTTGGCACGAGCTGCGCAGCGCTCGTTTGCTCTCAGCTGAACGACGAACGGAGCACAGCACAGCGAACCGGCGCTCCTCACCCCACGGGCAGAACCCGCCTCACGAGAAGCAGCGGAAAAAAGCGTTGTGACACCGCTGGGCGGCACATCTCCGCCGGGATCGTCTCGCTGCCGGCTCAGCCCCGGCTCGCTCCGCAGCCGCTTCCCGCGGCGCCGGCCCGCCTCGCCTCACACCCCGCGGGCGCAGCCCCGCACGGCCCGGAGCTCGCCCAAGCGGGGCGGGGCGGGGCGGGCGCGCGGTCACCTGATGCTGCCGCCGCCGCCATTTTGTCTGGGAGTGGAAATGTGAAAGGGAAAGCCTCGGCGCAGCCCGCGGCGGGAGGCACGGCGGAGCCGGCCGCTTTCCTCCGGGACGCGGTCTGCAGCGACGGACGGACGGCCTCACCGCGGACCGCCCCCGCTCCCGTCCTGCCCTCGGCTGCGGCGCTCCGAGGACTCCTCCCCGCCGCCCTTCCCCGGGGAGCCGCTCCCGCCACCCGGCCTCGCCGCGATGTCGGGGCAGTCGATCACCGACCGCATCACGGCGGCGCAGCACAGCGTCACCGGCTCGGCCGTGGCCAAAGCCGTCTGCAAGGCCACGACCCACGAGGTGATGGGCCCCAAGAAGAAGCACCTGGACTGTGAGTACGGCCCTCCCGAGGCCTGGGGCGGGCGGGGCTCCGAGGGGCGCCGGGCGAGCTGCTGGGCCGGGCTGCGCTGCGCTGCCGGAGCGGCTTCCACGTGGAACGAGCGAGCTTTGTACCGCCCGCGGAAACGGGCGAACCGGGAGCGCCGTGCCCGCCGGAGCAGCGCCTGTAGGCACCGCCGTGCTGAGCGGGGGGCTGGCGTGCGGCATCGCTGCCGGGAGCTTCGGGTCTCGGTTTTCTTCTCTGCGCATCCGGGGGGGTGCGGCCGTTCGTAGGGGCTTGTCGCGGTGTTCCTTGGGCTTTGCTAAAAGGCTTGGAGTGAGGTGAGGGGTTGGGAGAAGGTGGATCCACCGCGTCTCTCCAAAACGAGACTGCTCTGCTGCTGCTTTTACGCGTAAATTGAGTGCTAAAACAACTCGGGTGCCACGAAGTGCAGGAAGCTGCCTCCGGTATCTACAGAATCATCGGAGTTGTTGCTTTGTTTCGATTTTAGTTGGTCTTTAACTGCTCAAACCTGTGCTGAACGCTTCCGACTTCGTAGCGTGCAGCGGGGAGGGGACGTGGAGCTGCGCACAGCTCACCTCCGAGGCACGGGTGCAGGTGGGACCGTCGGGTGATGGTGCTAAGGAGAGTGCTGTTCGGGCTGTTGGAGTTTGGAGGCGGTTTGGCTCTGCTGTGGCGTGCGTCTGTTGAAACAGACTTTTTGTTTGAGAGCTCTGGATGTGGGTCACATAGTTACAGCCGGTGCAAATGTATTTCTTATTGATCTGGATGTGCGGAAGCCGGCTGTGGAGGTAAATGCTGCAGCTACCAGGCTGAAATTGAAAGCCTCAAAGCTGAATGGATCCAAGTTGAAGGAGGGAAGATTTAGGTTGGATGTTAGGGGGAAGTTCTTTACAAGGAGAGTGGTTAGGCCCTGGAACGGGCTGCCCAGGGAGGTTGTGGATGCCCCGTCCTTGGATGTGTTTAAGGCCAGGTTGGACGGGGTCCTGGGCAACCTGATCTGAATGTGTGTGTTTGGTGGCCCTGCTAGGCAGGGGGGTTGGAACTGCATGATCCTTGAGGTCCCTTCCAACCCGGGTGATTCTGTGATTCTGTGAATAATGAGCGGTATAATGAATAGGAGCATCGCTTTATCTTGTTTTCTGCCTGAGGTAGAACAGTTTTGCGAGGTAACCCTTAAGGTCAGAAATGGCATCATGGCAGGAAGCCAGGAAGTGGTTGCTCAATAGTTTAAAAGTTTCTGAAGCTTAAAAGATGGAATTCATTGGTTGAAAATCATGTCGTTCACTGGAAGTTACCCTCACAGAATAAGCAAATGGACAGGTGGAAGAACTGTGTAACATGAGAACAGCATAAACTTGTGCTGTGACATTCTTCTGAATGTCTCTTGATACAAGTCTGTTCAGAGCTGTCAGTCTCCTGAAGGTCCTCCTGTGCCACAAGTTCTGTGTTTTGATGTAACTTGTTTTCTATCATTTTTGTCTGAAATTAAGAAAAAGCTTGTTGTGCTAACAGTATATCTTGAAATGGAGGGGCTCTAAGAGGTGAACAAAAAAGATGAGAAATGTGGTACCAGAAGTACCTCTGCAAAAGGAGTTAAAAAATAAAATAAATGCCTTTCTCCCACCTTCACTGAGCACACCGGGTTGCTTCATTTCTAACATTCACAAGACTTTGCGTGGCATTTCCTGATAATTTTTCTTGTCCATCTGTAAGCAAAACTTAGTTGTATCTCATCTGTCTGCCTTTAATACAAGTTCAAATACTGTGATCTGTCACACAATATAGTTTCAAAGCTACAGTGCAAGTACTTCCCAAGTTAAGTAAAACTTGAAATAAAACATAGCCTGGATTTAATGCAAAGCACTGCTGCTTGTTCCTTAGTGTCCCTACGTGTGTGTCATTAAAAATGCTGCTCCATCTGGTATTACTGTAATTGCTGCTTAAAAAACGTGTTTTGAGAGTTGACAGTTGTGTCCAGGATTTGGAGCAGTACCTGTCTCCAGATTCCATTCAGATTAATTCTTAAAATTCCCCTTGTTGCCCAATTCCCTTGGCAAAGAGGGCTTGAACGTTACAGCATGGTATGAGTGGGAAGGTGTTCTGCACACGGCGTGTCGACTGGGATTATTGGGAGGCTTGAGTTCTATCTGACTGCTTGTTGCTAGGTAGTAAAGTTGCATTCTTCTTAAAGAAACCTAAGCAGTGTCAATGGGAATATTTCATATGTGTGTTTTTTTTTTCTCTTAAAGTAGGTCACAGTGTCCTAAATAAGTCAGCAGATCTATTTCTGTAGTATTCTGTAATATTTTAGGATAAAATAAAACATTATGTGATGTTTCTTCATTTTCCTCAGTGGAGTGCTTGAGAGTCTTGTCTCCCCTTCCCTGGTATGTTGGTTCTCTTGCTGTGCCATGCAGTCTTCTAAGGTTGGTATTGCAGTGGAGTGGGGGGAGCTGCTCCATTGGTGACATCTCTTCCTGGGTAACTATGGGAAGGCTACTTCAAAAAAGAAAAAGTTGTAGCCGAGCTGTTAGCTGTGATGCACTTGGGTGTAGCCCAAAGTTTAGAAAACAAACCTCTGAAGAAATGCTGCATTAAACGTGCAACTGAGCACTGAGTAAAACTGGAGTTATTTCTCTCCTTATAACTTGTATACAGCCCACTTAACTGACACATGGGGGGGAAGCAGTTGATGTTCATATAAACTTATAACTACTGTATGCATGCAGGCTTAGAAATATTCTTAGAAGTGGTAATTCAGTTACTTCAAAACTGTGTTACGTAACAAAACTAGGCTGTTCACCTGTTCACTTCAGGTGAAAGCTCAGGTCTCCACTGAGCCATTGCGGATTCATGTTTTGCCCATCATGTCACGTGCTGACTGTTGCAGTTCTGGGGTGTTTTCTGTCTGCCAGCCTTACTGCTGGCAGCTGCTGGTCAGAGATATGTGTGTTGAGATAGAACATGAAGAAACGATCTCAAATGCTCCCCCAGGCAGGAGGGTGTCTGTCTTTAATCATAGAATCACTTGAGTTAGAAAGGACCTTTAAGGGTCATCTAGTCCCTGAATTTCAATTTGACCTGGAGAAAAAAGGCCCAGAACACAGCTGATGTTGGTATCTTTCTCTCTGTGCACATTTAAAGTGGCAATTGCTTAAGGCTTTTTAAAACAAAAACCTTACAGGCTGCATTGAGAAACTCTGCCTAAGGGTTTATTTTGTTTTGTTTTACAAGCAACTTCCAAAAAGTAAATGCATTTTATTTATTTATTTTTTAAGACTCCAGGGTTAAGAAAATTGGTCTCTAATCTTCTCTCCGCTATTCATAGAGCGGCTTCTGTCCTGTGACAGAAGGGAAAAATTAGGGGGATATTGAGCAGTTGTAGTTGTCTCAACTTCTGTATTGACAGTTGTCTTGAAAGGAGTATTCCTGAACTAAGGAAATGATGGCTTCCTTGCTTGGAAGTTGAAAAATACTGGGTTTTTGTCAATGCCGGACTGAGGAGTTTCTGAAGGGCTGATGGCGTATCCGTGCATGCTGCTCTGGAGACCTGTGTGGCTTTGGAGATGATGTGCCAGTATTTCAGATGGGCTGCAGGGGAGATGGCCTTTGTACTCTTCTAGGCAGTAAGATTTCCACAGCTCTTTCAGGCTGCTTGAAATCCTGTACAGAAATCGTCTTCTGCTTTAAAGCCAGGTGACTTTAAACTTTTTTTCTGTGTTAACATACTTCTGAACTCTGTTCAATTCTTGCTCAGGTCCCATAACCTCAAGCACAGCTTGGATCAGGCTGTGAGTAGCACTTCATATGCAGAATTCCTAAAGTGGTTGGGCTCACATCTTCAAGAAGCAAGTTGGTCATCCTGGAAAACCTCACTAGCTCTTGCTCAGAATACTGGACCTGCATTTCTCAATCATGTGAAGTAGTGTGGAATCCAGTGGCACGAGCTTTCCAAATGCACGAGGGCTTTTTCAACATTTGCTGTGTTGTCACTTGACAGAAAAGTACTTCTAGCCTTCTCAGAAAGCAGAGGGCATTGGCTCCCTTCTGAAGGTTGACACCAGGCTGGCTTTTTATCACCATAAACCGTTACAATGGAATAAGCCCCAGTTTTTTTCCCTTTTTTATTTTTTTTAAATGAATGAATAGTTTAGGGAGAGTTGATCAGTTAGAGCATTTGGTATAGTTGCTAACAGTAGAATTCTGTCACATCTTGATAGAGTAACACCTCTAAGCATGTGTTTGCTGTCGATCTGAAGCATGCAAGAAATCTCCCAGGTGTTCATAGAAGGCTTTACTGGAACATCTGCTGGTAGACTTTGTCTGAAGGAAGACAAGACTTGCAGGTGGGGCCAAAATCTGTGTGAAACCAAAATCTCTCCAATAAAATATGAATGATATGATCTGTCTGTCTGCTGTTTCTGTCTTGGAGATCAAAAGTTGTTTTTTAACCTACATCTTTCCTTCAAGTCCTGCTTGTTATTTGATAAGCAGTCTCTTCAGTGGAGATACTGAATAGTAAAATTGACTTGTTTTGTGAAGGAGAGCTTTGTGCAGGAATGCTGTTTTCATTAGGCTCTCTATGTGGTCATGGGCCTCAACGTTTAATGGAACTTCCTTAATTGGCACCTGTTGGTAATGTTACAGACACTGCTCAGCATAGTCTGTGGGTTTGTTTGTTGGGTTTTTTTGTAATTCCTATTCTCAGCTTACAACTCATAAGAGTTCTGCAGCACTTCTCTGCTGGTTGCAGACCCTTCAGTTATATAAAACATGCTGTGATAAAGCAAGCGACAGTCTTAATAATACTTGCTTATAAACAGCATGGATTCAAGAAGACTTAATTACCTCAATGTGCTTTGAGATAATTACTTAGAAACATTATAACAAGGTTGTTCAAGAGATGAAGCTTTGGAGTTAAAACTGACTTTCTTCCTATGTATAAATTTTGGAATGGGAACTTGTTTTGTTACGTGGAGCAGTAACTGTCTGTGGATTGTTTGAGCTTACCAAAATCCTAAAAATGTTTTCAAATTTGACACTGTGTCTGAGGATGACACAGCCAAAAGTTGAAGTGTCTACCGAATGACTTGCTGTTTGAGAATGGGACAGGGGCGTCTTTTAATACTTAACAATAAGGTTTTGATGTGAAGCTTGTTTCAAACTTCCTCTTAGAGCTCTTCTTTTTGTATAGTTATTTCAGTGTTTGTGTGTCGCTTATAGGTGGAATGAAAACTTTCACCCGACTTGAATGTTTTCTACCTATTTTGAAACTTCTGACATCAAAGTGGAATCAGTAAGCAGTTAATGTTTTCTGTATCTTACTGAAGCAGAAGGCTCTCTAAAACTCTTCACTTTCCAAGTTATCTTGTTATAAATTGACTCAAAGTGAACGTTGGTGATCCTTAAACAGATTTGTAGTCAGGGTACATCTGTAATGTATTCTGAGCACATGAATAGGTAGAAACGTTTAAATAGCTGAAGATAGACTTCAGAAGCTGGCTGTGTTGACACCTCACTGTTAGTACCTGGGTGCTGGCCTTCAAGCACTTGCACAGAAGGACCACATGAGCAATAATGCTGATCCACAGCCAGCAGCCTGCTCAGGGACTTGCCTTCAGTAAGAGGCTGCAGAGGAGGTTTTCAGATGAGGTGTTTGTAGTACTGGCCTTGCCCAGTCCTTGAGCTGTGCTTTGATCACACCTGAGACCAAGCTAGCTCACAGGGAATTAAATGAAATGTGGATGTCCTGAGGGGGCGTTAGAACACTCTTGCTTCCTTCTCAGCAGTACCTTTCTCCCCAGGTGTTTGCTGGAGCGTGCTCTGGTTTTGTTCCGGTACTCAGGCGGAGATCTGAAGCTCTCTGTTCTTCCTAGTAAACGTTTAACTATTGAGTTTATGATCAGTCTTTGACACAAACTGCTTGAGACCTGCTGTGATCCCCCACAATATGCTCAGCACGTTGGTGATTAGGTCAATTTAACTGTATGGAAAGATGGGTATGGGCCGATTCTTCCTCTGAAATCTCACAGAAAAGAGGCTTAGTTCAGGTTTGCAGCATCTGGCTGCCAGGTGAGTCAGTTCTCAGGCTAAGATCAAAGTTCTCGAATGCTTGCTGCTTGATCTCAGGAGGTGTCTCTGCTTTCCCACTCTTCTCAGCTTCTCAGTTTTGTTTGGATGGAATGATTTCTGTGTCTGCACTGGCTTTTGAACAGCAATTTGGGCACAGAGTATCTGCAGGAGCAAGGTTTTTTTGTGATATTGGGACTCCTTAAAACAGTCAAAATGCTTTTAAATTCGCATTCATGTCTTTTGCCAAAATGGAGCGAGTTTGAGCTGGAAATGTAAAATAATTGAACTATTTCTTAAAGGAAGAACTGAAGATAAAACTTACAGTATGAATTCTCTGTGTAAAACTACAAAACCTGGTTATCTTCTTGGAGTGCATAACTCATTGCAATGCTGTGTTGTGTTTTATTTCCTTCTTAAATGTAGATCTCATACAGTGCACAAATGAAATGAATGTGAATATTCCACAGCTGGCAGACACGCTCTTTGAGAGAACTGCAAACAGTAGCTGGGTTGTAGTGTTCAAAGCTCTAATTACAACACACCACCTCATGATGTATGGAAATGAGGTAAGATGTAATTAGTTCTGTAAAGGCCTCTTTAATGGTGATTTTTATATTTCAACAGGTAGTAGGTTGAAATTAGGAGATAATCTGAAGTGAAATTCACTGCTTGGAAGGCACTACTTATTGCAACTACAAAGCTAAACTGAATGCTGTAAATCACTGTGTGTATTTTGCTCCCTTCTTCTAATACAGTTGATACCTGCATGCTGAAATGTGAAGGAAAAAAAAAAGAAACAATAAAATCCAATGTTGAACTATAAGAAAAATTGAAGCTTAGAGTCCTGGGTTAGCAATTGGTATCTATTTTTTTTTTTTTTTTTCATGTAATATTTTACAGCAGAGAAGAGCTGTATTTTTATGTGTGTACTGAAACTTCCTTATCTTTGAATAGATGCATCTGGGGTTCAGATCAGAGGTGTCACTAGCCCCAGAAGTCCTGAGTCCCTGATCATTGTGATCGTTTATGGACTCAAACATGGGTCAGGAAGCTAAAAAGCACAGAAGCTGCAGTTGTTGGAGTTGTGTATGGGCAACTTGAAAGAAAAACGTTTAAAACGCCTTGCTGTCTAAATGTTTTGTTTCTTACTCTTCTATTATTTGCTGAGCTAGCTATTATTTTTCAGAACTTAAATGTTCTTTATTCTGATCAGTATGTTGTAAATCTGAATTATACCGAGTGCTGCTCTTTACCACAGTTCTAGTAGCATTATTATAAATTATGTTGTTACTTAAGGGAAGAAACCTGTCTCTGACTTGTACAACGGGAGCAGAAGTGTGGGAACTCATAACTCAGGTGGAGCTCTCACTTTGCATTTTCTAGCTTGGCTGTTGTAAACCTATGACGTTAACACAGCCCGCTCCCCTCCTGCCTGGGCAGCCATGTCTTTTTCTTTTAAGTCATGCTTTTACCAAATCTGCTATTTTGTATGTTAGAAATGTTGCTGACAAGTTTCAAGGTTTTCTGACTCTTGATCTAGTATCTGTTGTTGGAGGTTACGAGAATCAATTATGAATTGTAGTTTTCTGCCTGGATGTTTTGACTGTTGCAACAAAAATTTGACTCCACTTTTTTTTTCCACCAACAGCGCTTTATCCAGTATCTTGCATCTCGAAACACATTGTTCAATTTAAACAACTACCTGGACAAAAGTGCCATGCAGGGTAAGGATCCTTGATTGCCTTTTTGCTCTGTGATTGGTACCTGTGTTGGTGTACTCTGGGGGACAAGTGACATTGAGGTGAGAGTATTATCATTTGTATTGTGTGAAACACCAAAGAATATCTGACCAAGCGTGTATCCCAAGAAGGTGAAATTGAGTTAACTGAGTACTGAAGTTTGCCTGCAATGTGTGTATCATCCTTACAGAGCTGCAAGTTTGAAATAAACTTGTACTATGTAGAGTAGACCTGATGATATCAGCACACTGGTCTCTTTTGAACTTTGATTGCCCTTCAGTATCTGAGAAATAAACGTGAACTGTTAAGGTGCATGGAATGTGCTGCATGGATGGTGAGATAAATCACCAGAGGCCTCAATGCTCTACTAGGAGTATGTTTTCAATCCGATTTCAGATTAGAATGTTGTAATGAGAGCTGCTTGGTTTTTGCCTACTTCTTGGTGTTGTGGGCACTTATTGTCATAATTGCAAGGAATGCATTCCTAGCCTTAGCAAGCTGGGAAGAAGCTGTAACTCTACATGTCAAAGAGGGAAATGGTGAATCTCAAAACCCTGGAATAAGTCTGTGAAGCGCTGCTCTCCAGCAAGTCGATGTGAAATGTAGGAGAGTAGTTCTTGAAAAGAACTTGGAGGAAACTGCATCATTCAAAATATCTAACCTGCAAACACTTAACTTTTAGGCTATGATATGTCTACCTTCATTAGGCGGTATAGCAGATACTTGAATGAAAAAGCACTTTCATACAGACTTGTAGCAGTTGACTTCACCAAAATGAAAAGAGGGTAAGAGATTTTACTGCTTGTTTAGCCTGTGTGTGTGTGGGGGGGGGTGAACACTAGTTATTCTTGAGCTTATCGTGATGGTATTCCTTTTGACCCTTTGAAGTAATCTAATAGTGTGGAAACAGCATAATATTGCTGAGGTTTCTTGGTGACCTGTAAACATGTCTTTTAACCTGTAGGATAGATGGAGTAATGAGAACCATGAATGCTGAAAAGCTCCTAAAAACTCTTCCAATCATACAGAACCAGCATGATGCACTCCTTGATTTTGATGTAAGTACTCTAGGCTCAGTTTTAAGTAACGGTCTCTCATTTCGAAGTAAGTTGCATTATTTTATTAAGTACTGATTTACTTTCTTGTTATTTTCTACACAGGCAAATCCAAATGAACTAACAAATGGTGTCATTAATGCTGCCTTTATGCTCCTCTTCAAAGATTCCATTAGACTTTTTGCAGCATACAATGAGGGGATTATTAATCTTTTAGGTATGTGACACTTCTTTTTAGCTTTCGTTCTTTCACGCAAGTTGTTGAGCAAAATAAAGGACAACTTCTGACTATAATAGCTAGTAAGTTGTTTAGTGTAGTTGTTAACAGCAAAAGTTGTGTTAACCACAACTGGCACGTGCTTAAATACATGCTTTTACCTGAAGATTACGACCTGAAACATAGATTGAAGTCAGAGGCTGACTGTGAGGGAAAAAACAAAGGCACTGTTGGCCTGTTACAGTTAGCAGGCCTGGAGTGTTGAACGTTCTTGAACGTGCACACGCAGCACAACTGACTTAAGATTTCCCACACCTTCTTTATAGCTTGCCTATTTGCTTCTAGCTGGTATTTGAGTCTACACAAGCTTCATATGTGGCATGTGGTTTTTTTGCTCAAGAGTGACCAGCAGTTGGGAAAGCCTAATAATGACTATTCAAACGAATTTCTGAGTGAAACATTACCTGATCAGTTTGTTTTGTTAGTCTGCTATATTTTTTTTCTCACTGAGATATCTGCAGATATATGGAGCAAAATAAGAAAAAGTGAAGGCTGTGGTTGCTGGATCTTTTTATTTTCGCAGATCAGTTCAGTGCATGAATCACTTTAGTGGTCATTTTGATGTGTTTTGGATGTTAGGCTGACTTAAAAACAACAAAACATATTAATATTGGGTCTAAATATGTAGACAAGAATATAGACAAGAATATCGTTTTCAGGTAGTAAGGTGATTTCCTTAGAATGTTACCTGAACTGTCTAATTCAATAATTGCATGTGTTTGCATCCATTTTGTCAAGCTTTGTGATATATTCTGAGACGCTGAATCTCGCAGATGGCTTCTCTCTCTGCTGAGTGCTTTATTGTAGCAGTGACAAGTATTCATGTCAGCGTGGAAACTTGAATAGCTTTGAGTTACCACTGTCTACTCTATCCCTGAAGCTCATATCAGTAATATAATAATATAGTAATATATAATGGTACCAGTTTTGCTGGGGTGGTGTTAGCTTACAAAAGTGTTTTTATTTGCATCCTCAGAAAAATATTTTGATATGAAGAAGAACCAGTGTAAAGAAGGCTTGGATATGTACAAGAAATTCCTATCCAGAATGACTAAATTGTCAGAATTCCTCAAAGTAGCAGAGGTAAATAATTTGATGCCTATGAAAAGATGAATTCCAAGCTACTGTACTACAACAGCAGGCTGTATTCATAATTTTGTAACGTCACCTTTGCTGTACAGAGAGCAATTCCCCAGATAGTGCATTTTAAACTCCAGTTACTCTGAGTAATGTGAAGTGAGATTGTCAGGCATCTTTTTCATTAGCCAAACAATGTAGTAACAGCTTTCTGAAGTGCTGTTACAAATTTGATGAATGGTCCAGAATGAACTGTTAGTGTATTTACACTGCTGTTCTTTGCTGTAACTGCTCGAAGTGGAGAAGTAGTTCCAGTAAGCAATGCAGATATTTCTAGTGCTCCAAGTGGATTTTCTGTATGGAAAAAATGGCTGGATAAAGGCTTGGCTTTGCTTTTAGATGCAAAGCAACGTGCTTCAGATTTCTGAGACGTGTTTTTCACTGAACTCATACTAATTCGGAAGGTGATTAATGCCCATTTTAGTCTGTTAGCTTCTATAAAACATTCAGACCTCAGTTTTTATTTCCATTGCCACTGTGTAAAGCATAACATACTTTATTTTTTTCCTCTTTTGTAAACCCAGCAAGTTGGAATCGATCAGGGGGACATTCCAGATCTTACTCAGGTCAGTGTACGTATCGTGCTGATATCATTCAATTATTTTGTCCTCCACATTTCTTATGACTGGAATGTACCATAACAATCACCTTGGGTGTATTCTATTCCATACACCTATACAGGAAATGCAGGTGTGCACTTTTCCCTTGGATCGTGTGTACTTGGTACTTAACTTTGCAGCTTTTATTTTTGGATTGTTTAAAGTGATAAAGGTGTTTTTTGTTTTTTTTTTTTTTTTTTTTTGGAAGTTCTGCTTTTTGTCTCATGACAAAGGATTAATTGGCTTATAAGGCACAGGCATCTTGCCACACGTACACATCTCTCATACTTGCTCCTAGCAACTCATGTTTCCCTTGCAAAGAACTTGACGCCCTTTGCAGTAGGAAAAAAAAATGTGACCGTAGCCAGCAGAGTGAGGGCAAGAAATGAATGAACACAGCAGTGTGATGTTTTGTGATGTTTGATCTTAGCAGCTTACCTCTGACGAGTACAGTATGTGCAGCTGGCCTGTGTTCCCTGATGAGAACACTGAAGTGTGAGGTGATACTTCAGAGATGACAAGGGCTTGCATGCTGGGTTTGTGTGCGCTCACTTGCACATTAACCAAGGAGTTACAGAAGTCTTCAAATCATGGGGCTTTTTTCTGATTTACTGAGGACAGGAAATTTAATTTTGCTCTTTATTTCTAAAATTTTTATGAGCACAACTTTTCACAGTTACAGCTGGAACACTTTTTTTTTTTTTTTTTTTCTTAATAGCTCAGTTATTTTATTGCAAGCACAATTCTTAGGCAGCTCTCTGAAATGTGGTGGTGGTATCAGCATCTTGTGTATTTTGGCAACTTCAGTGTCATCGTCAGTGAATCAGTCCAATTCCACTCCATACTAAATTTCATGACATTTAATTAGGTTGAGTAATTCTACATCGGCCTTGTGCCAACTCAAAACAATTCCCTGGCATTTCTTAGTTTTGGACTGTGAAAAAAAACATCAGTTTTTGCTGTGTTTGCAGCACCAGCGAGTTCAGACAGGATGATGGATGGCAGCTTGTAATGATAGCCTTTTGTTCATAGTCTGGTCACTCATTTACCTGTTTGTTCAAAATACTTGGATTTCTTGTGTGGATGTCCATATTTTGGTGTCTGTCTAAGCTGTTCCCGAGAGCAATGGATTTCTCTTGAGAAATTTTTACTACTGCTGCTGTGTAACTTTTTGTTTCCTTGATTCTGATTCTGATTCCATTTCTGCCAATTTATGTAAAGAGACAATCACTGTCCTTAGTAGATGTCCTGTTTCATTATGTTGTTGCTTCCTTTCTGTTTGTAGCTGGGACTGTATTCTTTATAAATGCAATTCAGTCTCTTACCTCTGTTTGGGATGTCAGTCTGACATGGCTTTGGTTAGGAGAAGTGAGTCTGAGTCAGGAAAAGCAGACTTATTCAGGTCATAATATCTGTTTTAGCTCCAGCATCTTTTCTGCCATAAAACTAAGTTCTGTTTGCTCAAATAAATTTAAAAACAAAACCTGTGTTGAATATCTGCAACAATGAGCAAGTGTGTAGAAAGGTACTGTTTGTTACTGTGCGGATTTTGTGGTTGAGGAGAGGGATGAGTTAGAGAGTTAAAAAACACAAAACAAAGCAGAAAAGGTATAGAATGTATTTTTCCATGCAGGTAGGTTTTAGCATGTCGTTGCTGTGTTCTCAGACATCTTTGGGAGTTCCTTACGTTATGTTTGCATTTCCTAAGCTTTCACCTTGTGTTTAGTGTGACGTACTAATGCCTGGCTTTCTGCTGGATTTAAATGGAGTTAAGTCTGCTTTTAGAATTTTTTAAATCAAAGAAGAGCATTGAATGTTTGCAGTCTTCTCCTAGGTGACACTGTTCTGGGGGGGGGAATGGAGGGGAGAGTTTCTGCAGCTTAATTTGAAGTGATCTTTCACTCTAGTTTCTTATGTTTTGTATGCCAAAGATTTGGATGAAATTGGGTTGGGTTATTGTATCATGTGCCGAATAGATGCTTCTGCCTGAGACTGTATTGTTGGGATAAGGCTGAATTTGATTGCTTTTTTGTAATTGAACTTCACTCCCTGTTGTCAAGTGTTCCTGATGGGAGCCAAGAACCACAGCTGGGTAGGTGGAACACAGTTGTGCAGGATGAATGACATCAAGGTGCTGTCACTGAAGTGATCATGTTGGTTCTTAGTTGATGGGAAAACTCATCTGTGTACTAAACAAGAAGTCCTTGTCTAAAAGTAGAGCTTCACAAATACTCTAATTTCAGGCACCCAGCAGCTTGCTTGAAGCACTGGAGCAGCATTTGGCTTCTCTGGAGGGAAAGAAAACAAAAGAAGTCTCTGCTGCCAGCAGGTGAGCACCAAATGAATGGCACCTGTGCCTCTACTTAAGATTTGTTGTCATCATCCTAAGAAGTTTTGGGATTCAGTCATTGAGGTTCTCCTCTTGAATTTTATTGGCTTCCAGCTCTATCTTCCCAGACGGTATAATTGTTGTATCTGGTGAGTAATAGTCTGAGAGCTCCACTGCACTTGTTCCTTAGATGTGTGCTTTTGTCTGACGGTATATTGCTGTATTGTAATAAACCACTGAGCTGAGACGTTGTGTATTATTCCTTGCACTTTTTTCTTTGTTTGAATCCTCTGGCTCATAAGACTTGTATGGTATTTGGAGTTCAAGGCTTTCTGCTGTTAGGCTGGTGTTCGTCTTCGTTGCCAGTTATTTACTTCTTCAGTCATGAATGCCTTAACCTGCCTATGAAAGTTCTTCAGTCTCAGAGCTGCCAAATGAGCTTTGATACTTTGTGCTGACAGGAATTATTTCTGTCAGGAGAAGAGGGAGAGTACTGGTGTGTATGAATGTGTTTTGATTGAAGGGCAAAAGATTTGGTTTGGGCGTACACCAATATATATATGCATACATCTAAGGGGGAACCCCCTTAAATATGTGGGCAGACTCTGATAAAGGAAGGTATCAGTGTAAAGTGCATTCCTGAGTAGCTGTCTTATGCCTCAGATTTCTTTCTTTTTTTTTTTTTTTTTTTAAAAGTATCTGATGATTTTCCATGGCAGTATTCCACTAAAGCGTGCAGTATTGGGAATAACTTTGGTGTGTTGCTTCTTGCTCTGTCCTACTGTGGTCCCCCCCCCCCATGCAAGCTTTCTGTGCTTCTGCCACTTCAGTGGAGCAGAACTGAAGTCTAATCAACATGATGCTAATATGAATAGAAAACTGGTATGTTCGCTACTTGACAGTTCCTACCACAGAAACCTGGGGAGTAATGCTGTGTGTTCCTGTCACATGTGTGGCACGTGATGAGGCTGGGTAGGTGAGGGTTGTGGTTGGACTTGATGATGTTGAAGGTCTTCTCCATCTTCAATAATGCTATTATTCTGTACCAAAGAGCAAGGTAAGAGAAGGCTGCGGTGGCAGGGGAGTAGCACAACTAACACTTAATGCTTAAACTGTGAGATCTGTGCCTGGCTGATTTTGGTTAATAAAAACTTCCTGCTGTTTTTTAGGGCTAGTGCTCTGTCCTGTGCTGTTTCCACGCTTGCCAACACTGGGATGTCATTGAGCAGGATGGATGAGAAAGAGAAGCAGCAGGCGTTGGAGGAGGAACAAGCTAGACTGCAAGCTCTTAAGGTATTCTATGTTTGCACACATCTGTATATGTATACATGTATAATGTTAGTGTCCCTTGCTACTCACTGTTGAGCTGCTTCACCAGAAAATCTTGGCTGGTATTGTGATGCAGCTGTTTTAGTTGGTTATTTTGTGATTTTTATTTTTTTTTTTTTTTCCGTTGGGAGTTCTATCAGATGTCTCCCCTGTGCTGTTTCTGTTATAGCAGAAGTTGTAGCTGCTGTCACAAGTTAAATGGATTAATAGGAAACGCATTTGGGTTGGGTGAGAAACTTACAAACTGACTGAATTTCTTTTACTTGAGGAATGTGCTAGGAAACTGTGTTTTGACACGTTGTGTGTAAATGCAGTGAGCTGTAACCAAGGGATGTGCGATCCAGCTGTAACCGAGGGCTGTGACCTAAAACTAATTGTATAAAAAAGACAAGTAACACCTCGTAGGTGGGTGTTCAGATACACATCAGTTTAGGCTTCTGGAGATTTGATTTGGGCTATAAGGGATCCTGGCAGCAGAGAAATGCATCTTTTGGAAGGGAGGGAGCCTCATATGCGTTGCTCTAAATGCCAAGGTGAGACTTGAGGCTTTCAGGATGGTTTTTGTGAAGCCTTTTGTGGCTACGTTAAAACAAACCTGAAATCAGCTTTCTGTTTCCTTGATTTTGTGGAAAAGATGATTTTGAGTTTTTTTTTTTTTGTTTTTTGTTTTTTTTTTTTTAATTTAAGGAACATAGTTGAACTATTTTTTTTGAAAGGGTCTGAAGGGTGAACAAAGTAATAACACTGAACTCCAAACTGTGTATCTGGACTTTCAGGAGCAGCGATTAAGAGAGATTTCTGTAGTATCAAATTCTACTTCCACATCAGCATCCCCAAGCACCTTATCAGGAAAAAGTGTGAATACCACTGCAGCTGTTGACCTCTTTTCAGTATCGGCACCCACAACAAATAGGTGAGAGAGATTCTTTTTTCTGAAGTAAGCCTGAATGCTGGGCTGGTCTGGCAGCTCACAATTTTAAGTACTTCTTGAGAGTAACTTCCTACTTTCTTGGAGCATTGATGGGGTTTTTGGTATCACTTGCTAAGAAATAATTTAAAAGAAAATATATTGTTTTGTACTGTTATTTGTGGCTAGCTCCTGGTGAACAAGAAACAACTGAGATATCAGTGTGAATTTGTGTGTAACTCAAGAATACAATACATATTGTGTCTCTTTCTTTCTTTTCAGCATGCCCAACCTTTCCAGTGATCTTTTTGATCTTCAGCCTGTGTTTGTTCCAACTGTACAGGGTACTGCAGCTACAGCAACGTCAGCAGGCAGTGCTTGGGGAGGTAAGCTTATTTAGTTTGACTGGGTGATTACTTTGGTTTGATGTGTGATTCCTTAGAATATAGGAATAACTCCAATGAGTTCATAGTTGAATTGAGTTCACAGTGAAATACTTGGGGCTTAGGAGACAGAATTTTTTGCATCCAGATATCTTGGAGCCTGTCAGAGTACAGAGCAGCTAATCTGAAAGTTCTGAAAATTTTTAAATTGTAACTGCAGACCTAATTTTTAGAGTACTTTCTTCCATCTTCTCCCTTATTCTGATCTTTGTTTGTTTGTTTTTTCCACCAAGATGACTTCAGTGGTCATAAACGTACCTGTACTTCTGTGCATCATCCTCTGACAAACCACAAAGCAGTCTTTGTATTTTGTGCACAGTTTCTGAGGGAAAGAATAAAAACTGCCAACCAACACTTTCTGTGGTATAGGTACTGAACCTGTGTCCCCAGCAAAGGCCGTGCCTGCAGCCTGCCCAGAATAACAACTGTGAATTGATTGTTGAAATGAGTTGACTGTTTCTTGGGCACAGCACTCATTATAGCCCTGCTTGTTCTAAAGATTTGTCAGGAGAGATGTCAAATGCCTTAAACACTGAAACAAGGAAGTGAGGGGTTCGTATTTCAATAGGCAGAATCGATGCTTAGTAGTTCCATGTTAAAATGCTAGATTTATGAAGCCAAAGATGTAATAGCTGCTTTTTTTTCTTAGTAGGTGACTGTCTTTTTCCCCTCCCCTCCCTGTGGCAATAATGAAATTATTTTCCCTAAATAAAGAAGGCGGTGAATGATTTTATCCAAAAGTCAGAATTCCTATCTCTTAACAGGCCACTGTGTGGCAGGTCTACAGTTTAGCTTTGTTTAGAACATCTCACATGCAGTCATCTGTCCTGTCGTTCTTCCCTGTCTGTGTACTCTGTATTCTTTCCTTTACTTCTGCATCTGCAAGGTCCTTTCTCGTCCTCAAATGGTTGTGTTGAGTCTCCACCTCATCTGGACATCTTTGACATGAAGCCAGTTGAAGAAGCTGTAAAATCTACTGCCCCTTTCATCAGTGCTAGCTTGTCTTCCAGACACACAGTGGAACTATTTAGTGGTAAAAATCAAAACCAAAGCATCTCATTTCTTTGCAAGTGGAGATAATGCTACTAGTAAACTGGGTGGTGCTGTCTTTGTGTAGTTGGGACCAATCTGCTCTTAACACATGAAAGTGGTGCATTAGTTCCAGTAGTAAATGTGGTTCCTTAAACATGTATTTCTCAAGTTCAATTTCCCCAACCTAGACCATTGAAAACTGTCTTTTAGCTGAAAATTTTGTTGACTTTGCAAACTGCAACTTGGTTTTACTTTTGTAGTGGGGAGGGCAAGTTACTTTCGCTGCTGGAACTTGCAGTTCTTAAATTTTAACTGCAGACCTAAAGTTTAGAGCACTTTCTTCCGTTTTCTCTCTTAAGCTGATCTTTGCTTTGTTTTTTCTTTTTGCCAAGATGACTTCAGTGGCCGTAAACCTACCTATACCTCTGTGTATCATCCTCTGTCTGTTGATGGTAATTTGATCTCTTTATGTTTTTGACTTTGTTTTTGCTGAAAAGAGTGGTGTTGTTTCATGGGTGTACCTGATTCCCCTGTATTTTTTTTTTTTTAGGTTTTCCTCTTCATTCAGCTCCTCCAAGTGCCACCCCTTCAGCAATCAATGTGGACTTTGATGCTGTTTTTGGAGGAAAATCTACAGCACCGCAGTACAGGACTGCAAGTGGTAAAAACTGTCTTACAATTAGTTTGCACCCTGCAGGCACACAGAATTAGAGAATGGCCCAGGTTGGAAGGGACCTCAAGGATCATGAATCTCCAACCCCCCTGCCACAGGCAGGGCCACCAACCTCCGCATTTAATACTAGACTAGTTTGCCCAGGGCCCCATCCAACCTGGCCTTTGAACACCTTTAGGGACGGGGCATCCACAGCCTCTCTGGGCAGCTGTTCCAGCACCTCACCACTCTCTCTGTAAAGAACTTCCCCCTGACATCCAGCCTAAATCTCCCCTCCCTCAACTTCAAACCATTTCCTGTTGTCCTGCTGTTATCTACTCTTTCAAAGAGGATGATTCCCTTCTTGTTCGTAGGCTCCCTTTAGGTACTGAAAGGCTGCAATGAGGTCACCCGACAGCCTTCTTTTCTCTAGGCTGAACAAGCCCAGCTCCCTCAGCCTGTCCTTGTAGAGGAGGTCCTCCAGTCCCCTGATCATCTTTGTGGCTCTCCTCTGGACCCTTTCCAACAGCTCTCTGTCTTTCCTGTTCTGGGGCTCCAGACCTGGACACGGGGCTCCAGAGGGGGCCTCACAAGAGCAGAGTAGGGAGGGACAAAATCACCTCCCTGTCCCTGCTGGCCACTCGTCTTCTGATGGAGCCCAGGATCCTATTTGCTTTCCAAACTGCAATGCACACTGCTGGCTCATGTTCAGTTTTTCATCCATCAGGACCCCCAGGTCCTTCTCTGCAGGGCTACTCTCAAGGAGCTCCTTCCAGTCTATATGAATGCCTGGAATTCCTCCGGCCCAAGTGCAAAATCTTCAACATTGCTGTGTTGAACCTCATTAGGTTCACCCAGGCCTACCCTTCAAATCTGTTAGTAGAATTGCTCTTGTGGTGTGGAAGTTAATAACTTAATGACTTAATACATTTGTAAGTTGATAACAAACCATCAGTTTAATTAGTTATTTAAATTTAGCTCTGACTTGTTTCCTTCTGCCTACTGATTGTTTCCTCTTTCTTTTTGGGGGGACAAACGTTGGCCCCGTGGATGTCTCTTAATGGGTAAGTTTACATTAATCTGTTTCAGTGCTCCTGACTTCGATGTTAATATTATTAACACGTGACAGTGAGTTCCCTTGAGCTTCACTGGGAGGCATTGCACCTAAAAGAATGCAAGAGTAGTTGTGGGTATGCTTTGCTTTTGGAATAACTTAAGTTCTGATCTCTTCTCTTGGGGCTGTTTTCTCTTGAAGTCCCTATAAACATGTAGGAACTCTTGTGAACGTTCCAGATGCCAGCAGTACCATGAAATTACTGCTGGCGGTTCCAAGAATGCCTTGAAACTGTCTTGAATGACTTTGTTCTTGAGGTTCTTTTAGGGGGGTTTGCTTAATTTAGAAATTCTGTCAGTTACTGCTGAAGCATAACTGAAGACTTTACCAGATAGGCAAACAGCATTCCTTAAGAAATGAAAGTGAAATGATGCTTCTGCTTACTCCTTAGTGCTTCCAGCATGTTTTGCCTCGGTATGTAAGAAATACTTAATGTTGCTTAGGGTTCTCTGCCTTTCTAGCTTAGGACAGACTATTTTATTAAGTTCAGTGTCACCTTTGTTAAGAGCTGGTTTTTTGTTCTTTTTTTTTTTAGCTATTAAATATCTAGATGATGTTTTGCAACCCACAGTACCACCGCCAAGTCAAAGAGCCACCTCAGCCAACCAGCCAAGTGGAAAAATCCTGGCAAATGACCTTGATTCTTCTCTCGCTAATCTAGTGGGAAGTAAGCATGAAGCTTTTCCCTTGTTTTTAGTAACAAAATCAAACAAGCAAATGATTTTTCTTCTCACAAGTAAAATAAATAGATAAATAAAAATACCTGGGACTTACATATCTATGTTTTTCCCACCCTCCCAGGTCTTGGCTTTGGAGGAACTCCATCCAAAAAGTAAGTGTGTCTGTCTATTTAGGATACTCCTACACGACTCCTTAGTAGGCAGTAGCACAGTTTCACAGCACTGACATTGATGACAACAGTCTCAGTTCAGAGTAATCTGCTACCAAGAATAGTGTTGGAAGAGTGAGTCTGTAGTCAGTCACCGTAACAATCGGCCTTAACATTTGAGTTCATTTCATCTTGTAGCTGCTGTGCTTGGAAGTGTTTTTGAGTCACTACAAAAGATCTTGTGGTTAAGTCAAATTCTTGTGAGCTATTGCACCGTATGGTGAAATGGTAGGGAGCTTTTAACCCAAAACAGAACCCTTGGACTTCCTACTTGCTGCAGCAGAGAAATGTAAGGAGAGAATTAAATCCTTTAGTTTTTTTTACTACCCATAGATTTCAAATGCCTGCCTGACTTAAGATGTGTTTTCCTGTGTTCTATGACATCGTTGTTCTTGTTGTTCTCTCTGGCTCTGTCTGAAAACTAATACCACAGTTTCCTTTCAGGTCTGATATGCAGTGGACTCAGCCTGCAGAGAAAAAACTTACTGGTGGAACAAACTGGCAAGCAAAAACGAGCACATCGACCACATGGAACCCTACTCCCTTACCCACGCTGCCACATATGGTAACTGCTGTACTGCTGGAATTGCTCTTTGTTCCAGGAAATGTTTCTGCACTGCATGAATCAATTAGAAAATAATAGCAAAACCTGCCTGGGACAGGAGTGGGGGGCAAAACTGCATGCAGGGTCACTTCCCAAACTCAAGAAAGTGTGTTGCAGTGTATTTCTTTCCCTGTTAAAGACTTTGGAGGAGGGTTGGGAATCCTCGCACTTGAGACCTTGAACCGTTTGTGAGTTCTTTATGAGCTGAGTTGATCTCAAAACAACAACGTCAAGGTACGATTGAGAGACTCGAGCACGTACATGTGCACCTTTTAAGAATCCAAAGAACTTGTTTCAGGAGTAGAAGAAAAACAGTATTACTTCTGGTTTGTGCTGCGTTTTAGTTGTATTATATGAAATGATATTGCACCCCTGCAGGGCAACTTAATTATTGTTTCAAGCAGCACTTCAGGCTTGTAATCATGCTTAACAGCAGTGTCATCACTTTTCCAACACAACGCACAGAGTCACACAGCACACAGTAACTCTAAAGAAGTTGCTTCTGTGAAGGACTTCCACTTCTTGGAGGGCTGTCTGTAGGCAGCTGGCTTTTCAGTCACTTGCCAGGTGTCTTCCATTCCGCTGTATTCATACAAGTGCAAACTTCTTTTGAAATATAGCTGCCTTGGAGGGAAATAAATTGTTCCTCCCAGTTGCTTATAACTACAGTAGTTGCAGAACTTACAATGAGTTTCGAACGGCCATCTGATTTAGTGCTTCCAATTGGAGTACATTTGCCTGTGATGCCTTTTTCCTTCAGCTTATACAAGTACGCTCACTGAAAATTTAAGCAGCTTAATGGACAGCACTGGACTGAAATAAAACCCAAATGTTCTAGTTAGAGGATTGCAGTACTTACCATCTCAGAAGTCTCATGTGCCAGATCTTTTCATCCTTTCTTCACATTCTGGAACATCTCATGTTAAAAGTGCCTGTTGTGTTTCTGTTTTTGAAAGAAGGATGAAACCTCAGTTGATGTGGCTCACTGTGGGTTTCAGTTGATTTTTTTGTTTTGTTTTGCATTGTCACATGAGATACTTTTCTTAGATGGTTGAGTGCCCTGTGCCAAGCATCTCCTCACCCATTGGCTTGGAATTTCAACCATTCCCGGTGCAAAGAACTAACTCAGCTATGAACAGCTTTAAAATCAGTGCCCAAGTACTGGAGAGGTCCAGGCATTGCAGCTTGGCCTGTGGCGTTCATAGTAACTCTCAAATTCACGCGTAGTGTTCATACTCCTTCATAAAACAACACCCAGCATTCAGTAAGATCATTACCTCTACCAGTTGAGACAGAGCAATATGAAGGGCACACGTCACCATGTCTACGTACATAACCTCATAAAACTGGCTGCCAGCTTGAGACGCTTGTCGTTTTTTTCATCAAATATTTTGCAGTGTGTTGCTGACATCAGAAATATGCGAGCAGCACCTGGCTGCAGTATATTAAAATCTGCCTGAACATAATAAGTTTTACCTTTGCTGGAGATCTTGTCAGGGAATGTAGGATGCTACTGATGGTATACTGCCCTCGAGCTTCCTCATCCCCATTTTAAATTAGTGGGTTGAGCATAGGTAGTTGCAGTATTGGATTGGAATCCATCTCCCTTGGTTACAATATCCAATCTGAATACCTCCTTGCACAATTTTCTGTCCTTACTCCTTTTGCTGTGCCAGAACAGAGTACATTATCCTGGACATGTAAGTCACTTTCTTGTGAATGCTGGTTGTAGTAATTACTTGAAAAATGTTTTGTATGCCTGACTAGTAGGTGTGAACTTACCTAATATACACTGCAATTTTCTTGATTGAAGGTGCCTGCTCCAGTTGCATACCAAGTGACTACGCCTCAAGTGCCTGTCTATGGAATGGTAAGAACTGTGACAGTCTCCTGTCCCTGAAAACCTGAGTGTCTGCTGGGTTTGTGGCAGGAGTTATTCCTCAAACAGCACTGTGACTTTCATATAACTTCATCAAGTTAGTAGTATGTGAAAGCAGATGGTTTTGTCACCACGCACCTGCAAGAGGTGGTATTAAATCTTAGACAGGAAGACTTTTTTGAAAGCTCTGCTATGTGTGTCTGCATCTCCCTGCTTATTTTCTACTACGTTTACAATGCAAAAAGATACCACTTCTAGAACCAGTTTTAATTTTCGTGTAACTGGTTTTTGGGTTTGTTGCTTTCTTTTTGTCTCCCAGCAGGTCCCTCCTCAGATGGGAGCTGCTCCTTTGATGGCACCCCAGTCAGTGATATATACGCAGCCCGGTCTAAGGCCGACAAATCCTTTTGCACCTGTTTCTGGAACACAGGTAAACTGTTCTTTTTAAATGAAAGGCCACACTGAAACTTGAGTCTGAGTGAAAGCAACCCAGTGTTCGTTGATGTATTTTTGCATCTGAAAGCAAGGGGTTCTTCAGTCAGAAGTGTCAGCTTTTGCTGGTCAGAAAGCAAATTCAGCGGGTGAAAGCATGCAAGTGTGGGAAGGAAAGTAAAATTCAGAAATGTTGTGGTTAGCTTTTCACCATGTCAGTATTAGGAAAAGGGGAATGGCATTGGCATGTAGACTTCCTCGGATGTTAGCTGGATACTTGGGTTTGCCTTACTGGGTAGAGGAATGAGGAAGGCTCTCTGAAGGCCTATGTGGTGGGGAGGTAAAAAGGGATGGACGAGCGATTGTTCAAGCTGAAGGAATTGTCATTCAAATATGTTGGTCTTAATGTTCTTCAGGACAAAACCCAGCTTGGAGGTAACTGGGCTTGTGAACAGATGTAGAATTCTGAACCTGTGAGTAACCATGTGCTATGTAAGCAGCATTAACACGTAATCCCTGTTTTACAGATACAGTTCATGTAGAGCCACCAAAGCTGCAAGATGTGAGAAGAACCAAATACTGGTAAAACGAAAGAAGGAAATCTTTCTGTGATTTCTGGATTCCTGAACAGGGTGACTGTTTCTCCCCTGTGCGACATAATGGTGTTTTGAATTGCCGTGCTTTAGGGATTCTTGTTTATAACAGTCACTGCTGTGTGAAATGGTCTTGGTCACCAATTTCAAGATTGCTTGGCAGGAAACTGTGTTCTCAGAGGCTGAAGGTTGACTTGGAAGGCACAAACTGGATTCTTCTCTTCAGAGCTGAGAGGGTTACACGATTGCTTTGCAACCTGGTTCTTCAGTGAATTGTGTTAAGAAATGAATGGAAAACGTTAACTCTTTATTCTCTCTGTAAATGAGGTGGCTGTTGTAACCAAGACACAACTCAAAGCTGAGCAATAGCTTTTTTGTACACTTAAAGAAATACTCTGATAGAGTAATATTTGTGTTATCCTAATGCCAATGTTGTGTGAAATCAGACAGCTCTGACATCAGAATAGCTGAGGGTAATCTACAGCCTTTATAATGTGAGTTTTAAATGCTGTGAATCAACAAGATCTCTACATATTCAGAAACGCAGGGAGTCAAGTAAGTGATTGCACCACTGGGATGGCAGTGTTACACAGCTGGTTGAAATCACGGCTAGTTGAAAGAGCCTGGCTCTGGCAAGGGCTGCCGTAGGGTAGGGGATACAAGTGTGTCACAACAGCACGGACAGCCTCCAACGGGTGACAGCAGGCGCACTTTCATTGAGTGTCTTCTCCACAAAGGGCATCTTTCACAGCTGAAGGGAGAGTAGATCCTGTTACAGTGAACGTAGATCCCCCAAGCAGCAGCAAACGAGAGCAGCTCAGAGCTCTGGTTGCTAGCTACAGAAGAGGTAAGCTATCCAATTTGAAAGGGTGCTGGGAGAAGACGTCCACTAAAAAACCCTTCCCTTTGAGCTTACAGACTTTTTAGAAAGCAAGCTTTGCCATAATGCTGGTGTTTCAGAACTGGCAGTTTTACAGAAATAGTCTTGCTCTGGTGAAGTGCTTGTGCTCCTTTTCTGAAACAAGAATCTACTTGCAACCAGAATAAAAGGAATGATTTTTAAATATGTAAATATGTGCAAACTTGTAAATAAGGTTTTCTTTCATGCTGCGGTAATCTTTTCCTTCTGTAGTATTTTCAAGACAAAAATGCTTTCTTAAGAAATAGAGGCTTGAGAGGAATACCTTGTATGTGAAATAATTCCTGACGTGTGCTGTTGCTGGTGAGGCAGTTGTCTGTGCTTCTGGCACATCCTGCATATTTAAGTCTTTCTCCAAAGTTTAGGTGGGCTATGAAAATGCTGCCTTGTATTTTTTTGTTGTCCAATGCAAAGTGATAGCATATTGCAAAAAGGGGGGAGGGAAATGGGCGAGTAATGGGTGAACAGAATAGGGAGCAGAATGCAAGGAAAACCTCTCCTGCCAATTGTAATGCTACCAGTGATAAATGTGAAAGGTGGGTTTTCAAAACAACATCAGTCTTCTGCTTCTATACCCTAAGTAGGCCTTGAGAGTACAGTGCTGTTAATCTGGGTGTAATTGACAACAGAACTGCAGAAATCTGACCCGCTATAAATGCAGATAGGCCTGGAAGTCCTGTCAGTCTGTCCTTTCCAGAAGAACTTGGAAGAGCAACGCTTTTCACGTTGCGGAGACGAGCTTTCTTTTTGAATGCTTCATTATGTCCCAGGAGCGCAGAAGAAATGCTACAGAAACACACTTGTCAAGTGAAACAGTTAAAAAATAATTAAACGAAAACAACGGCAGAAGAGGAAAACACAACAGCCCAGCTTACTGGCAGATGTAACCTGGTATGCTGTAGTTCCACGCCTGTTTGAATTACAGAAGAGCTTTCCTCCAGCTCTCTTGGGCTGAGCAATGGTACAGTTTAAAGGCAGTGAATTCTGCGATGCCTGTAGTTGCCCTCTGGGTGATGAGGAACAGATGCCACTGAGAAGGGATCACTGCTGAGGAGGAGGCTGTTTTTTTAGGAGATAGGTACTTCCTTGGATATATCCAGCATGGAATAGTCTTGAGTTCAGAGTCGCAGTGTTTCTAGTAAGAAATGATGGAGCTGCGAGTGCTGCAGCCAGGCAGTTTGCAGCACCAGGAACTGTGAGGTCTCCTCTGATACGGCGTTGCTGAAGTAAAGATCTGTTCGGTTATTCAAATCTGCAAATAAACAAACATACTGTTAGCCAGATATTTAAAACTGAAACAGTTGCAGAGCATTTGGAATATCCAGAATGGACAGACTTTGCTGCAAAAGGAGGTACTAATGAGACCAGCCAGCAGTTGTAGTGCTGCTCCGCCTTGTGATTTGCTCTGCATTTCTTTAGTGTCCTTGTAGCAAAGCAATGTGAGAGCAGCTTCCTATTGGAAAAGGGGAGATGGCCGCACAGTGCCCCCTGCAGACCTGCGAAGCTCCGCTTTTAGTCTCGTTTGCAATGCTGGGCACGTGAGAACTGTTAGCTCAGCTTTATCCTTGGGAAGAAGAGATGGCTGGCACAAGTGGTGGGGGCAGTTCTGCGGAGTGAAACTGGGAAGAGAGATGGAGATGAATGTCACTTTCCCTTTTGTCTTCCAACTCCTTGGCTCAGAATCCCGCTCTGAATGCTTGCTATCCGCGATGTCACTCCACGTGTGGCAGAACAGGAGGAAAGCTCTGCAGTATGCTGTGTGCCTTGCGCCGCTGTACTTGAGCGGTTGGTTTGAGGCTGGCAGTCGGGACTCAGCAGCGCTGCAGGAGGGCTGTCTTCCAAGGCGTGTACAGTAAGATGGCTGGGCTGCTGGGGAAGGTTGATGGCGTTAGGCCTCTTGCACTTGACAAGTGAACCTCTTTTTAAATACCCGTGTTTTCTAATGCTCTTCAGGTCTAGTTCGACTTTGCCTCCACAAAGTGACAGACTTTGACTTTTTTTTTTAATTCAGACAAATTATTTACTAAAGAAATCTCAGTTCTGTGCACATAGAGATGCAATGAGTGTAGGGAAAAACTGCAAGCAGACATTGCTAATGGAGAAGGAAAAAACTAACAATAAAGCCCCCAACTATGAGATCGACTACAGGGTGTATCCACATCAGTTTTTTTCTGTGGCAGGGACGTGGGGGGTGGGGGGTGGGTTGCAATTTGAATAGTAAGCGCTGTGGATCGGTGCTTAATTTGTATATAAAAAGGAACACTTGTGTTTTGGGCAGTTTGTATTGTAAGGGCAACATTTAAAGGCACTGCGTCTCGGTCTTTTATTTCCATTTTAAAGATTATATTTTTGAGCAATGGAAACTGTACGTGTGATCATTTGTACATCTGCTGGCAGCTATGAAGAGAGAAGAGCGTGCTGTTACTCAGCAGATGCCTGATTTGTTGTTGATATTTACATTAAAGGAACTGCTCAGTAAGGCGGTCTTTAAAGAGATGGCAGTAACCTCTGCAGTTAGGAGAGTTGTGCCAGCAGGTCTTTGGTCTGTCTGAAACGTGCACCCTCACATCGCTCACACTTCATCCTTTCCCAAGTGTCTGTCCAGAATTTCTCTTTGGAGTAATGGAGCAGCAGGTGCTGGAATAGCTTCTTCCTCCTCACCTCCTCCACTGTTTACTTAGTAGGTCTTGTTTTCTATGTGATGTTTTTCCCCAGAACAGGTTTGTGCCTTTATTGGATATTTATTTAAAAGGACCTACTCTCATTTAGGCTGTTGAGGCTTTTCTCAGATGTTTTGTACAGCTGTTCCTGTACGTGAGTTGCTTCATTTTCTAAGGCTATAAGGTGTGGGAAAATACCATCCACAAGCTGGAGGGGAAACTTATAGGAAAAGTACTGAGGGTTTGCATTCTACCAACTTCTTTTCTTCTTTAAGGAAAAAAAAGAATAAAAAGCCGAAGCCCAAAGTTGGCTGTGGGCTCTGTTGATATTTTGACTGGGCCTTTACAACTTGTTAATTGTTTTGTTTTTCTTTAAGATTGCTGCTCATATCCAATCATTAGAAATGTTTTGAAAAATAAACTTTGGAACACCTGAGGGATGGGGGTGTGTGTGTGTGTGTGTGTGTGTGTGTGTGTGTGTGTGTGTGTGTG